TTGTGAACAATCTCAATCTCTTCATCATCCATCCTGATGCTGTCAATTGGTCCTGTGATGAGAATATTTGTTTTCTTGATGTTGAGCTTCAATCCATAATGAAGACTACAGTCCCTGACTTTCCACAGCAAGCGCTTCAGGTCCTCCTCAGTTTCAGCAAGCAGGGTTGAGTCATCTACGTAATACAGGTTTTGCTGATGAGTCTTCCTCCAATTCTGATGCCACATTCCTGCTCATAGAGCCCAGCCTCCCAGATGATCTCTTCTGCATATAGCTTGAAAAGGTATGGAGATAGGATGCATCCCTATATTTGAACCATGCAGTGTTTCCTTGTTCTGTTCTGACGACCGCCTCCTAGTCCAAGTACAGGTTTTGTATAAGCACAATCAAGTGTTCTGGGATTCCCACTCTTCTCAGAGTCAGCCAGTTTGTTGTGATCCACAGAGTCAAATGCCTTTGCATAGTCAATGAAGCACAGATTCCTCTGTTACTCTCTGTTTTCAGCCAAGATTCATCTGACATTAGCTACAATATCCCTACTACCACGGCCTCTTCTAAACCCAGCCTGCACATCTGCCAGTTCTCTGTTCCCATCATTTTTGGATCATTTTCAGCAGAGTCTTACTTGCATGTGGTATTAATGATAGTGTTCAATAATTTTCTCACCCTTATCACAGGATATGAGAGAAAAAAGATGGATAAGAACCTGCCTCAATCACATCACCATTTAGCAATATTGAAGGAGGGAAAATGTGGGAATAAATTTGATTACTAACACCAACTATATATTGGAAATAGATATAGATCTCACAAACATCATTGTTAAAAGCATGCCTTTTTGCTCAGTTTATTGATTCCAATCAGAAATGTCTTTTCCCATACTCCAAACACTTCACAGTTTTAAACAGACAACACTTTTAAACACGGTTAAACACTGAGACATAATGAAGACAGATAATGTGACTTTAACTGGCAATCAAAGTTTCTTAATTTAACTTTCTCATTAAGTGAAAACTGCTTCCTAACATGTCCCTGTTGCTGGCTGGCATGGAGTCACGTGACCTTAGATAGCCCAGAAGGCCTTGTGGAATTATCTTTCGTCTCACATTTATTTATAAGTTATAAATGCAAACAAAACAATGTGTTTCTTAGAACCAAGATCTGAAATTTATAATTGGTCTGCGTGTTCACCACTGGGCTCCATCTCACTGTTATTGCCTCTGGGTCACTCATCTCCCAGAGAGTTCCCCTCACTTTCTCTGACCTCTCCTCTCCCAAAAGTCATGTTCTGAAGATACTACTGGTCTTTCCTGATGACGGGTCCAGAGTAATCAAAACAAAGCCTGCTCCTCCCCGCTGATAAGGAACATTCTGGCCAGACTTCCACCGACACGAAGAATCAGTCACAGCATATCTCTTAGCACAGCTCTGTCACTCAGGAATTCTCCCTGTAATGAATGACCAAGCGTAAAGAATGGCAGTGTCAAGAACACACTTCCACCCTTTGCTGCAGTCAAGCCCTCAGTCCCTGACCCATGACGTGGAGGGTCTCAGTGGGCACTGCAGCAACTTGCCTGGAGCCCTCCTTGGAGATAAGGTCGGCTGTTGTTTCCTCTGCCCAGCTGCTGACACTCCCCACCAAAGCCCTCTCGGGGAGCACCCAAGTTGGGGTGCAGTCTGCCTGGGGACCACCCATTCCTGTGACTGGTGATGAGAGAGCCCTTGCCTTGACACTGAACCACCCAGAAGGCCTCATCTGTTCCAAGCTCCCAGGGAACCAGCCGAGTCTCCTGTTGCAAATGCCTCACAGGTGTGGAGCCTACAAGCATGTCTCACAAAAACTCCATGAGCCAACGTCCGCCCCAGAGTCTACTTCCAAAAGAGCAGCATCCCTTAGCAACTTTAGAAATCTCAGAGACACTCTCTGAAGCTCTGAGATTGTGTGAGAAAAGCAAGAGAATGATGAAGAAGCCACTTAAGAGTGGAATTATGACGGCTGTGGATGTCTGAGATAACCTGCTGGGAATGTCATGGGTTGACAGTGCCTGGATCCCCATTCTGAACAGTGGTATTGTCCTGGATGACTTTTCAGAAAGAAGCAACCCTTTCTATGACAGGACATGCAACAATGAAGGAGTCAAAATGCAGAGACTAACATTAGAACACTTGAATCAGATGACTGGAGTGGAATACTGCCTTCACCATGCTCAAGAACCAATTCTTTTTATTATTCGTCAGCAGCAACGGCAGTCACCTACTCAAGTTAGCCCTCTAGCTGATTATTACATCATTGCTGGAGTGATTTATCAGGCACCAGACTTGGGCTCAGTTATAAATTCCAGAGTGCTTACTGCAGTGCATGGCTTTCAGTCAGCTTTTGATGAAGCTATGTCATACTGTCAATACCATCCCTCCAAAGCATATTGGTGGCATTTTAAGGATCATGAAGAACAAGATAAAGTCAAACCTAAAGACACGAGGATAGAGCGCGCGCTTTCAGGCTCCGAGGGAGGGGACCAAGGACCACAGGGCGTAGCAGGGCCTGGCGCGTAGCCAGGAAATCAGGAGACGAACTGCATTGGGAAAGTCAGCTGTGAGGGACCTCTCAAGAGTACTGAAGAGCAACGATGTCAGGCTGGAGACTAAGGTGCACCTGATCCGGGATATAGTCTTTGCAATTACATGCTATGCATCAGAGAGTTGGACAGTGAATAGGGTTGATAGAAAGAGCATTGATGCTTTTGAGCTGTGGTGCTGGAGAAGAGTGTTGAATATACCCTGGACTGCTAGGAGAACAAATAGGTTTCTCCTGGAGAGGGAGAGGCCAGAGTGTTCCCTGGAGTCAAGGATTCTGAAGCTTCGTCTGACATATTTTGGGCATGTTGCAAGGAGGGACTGGTCCTTGGAGAGGGACATCATGTTTGGCAGAGTGGAGGGGAGGCGAAGGAGAGGAAGACCTTTGGTGAGATGGACTGATTCTGTGACTGGAGGGGTGGGAATAAGTGCGTTTGAGATGGCTAGGCTGGCACAGGATATAACAGCATTTAGAGCTCTTGTACATAGGATTGCTATGAGTCGCAAGCGACTCGATGGCACGTAACAACAACAAAGTCACGAGAAAAGAAGAACCAAGCTCTATTTTCCAGAGACATCATGTGGACGCCTTACTTTTAGATCTCAGACAAAAATTTCCGCCTAAATTTGTACAGCAAAAGTCTGGAGAAAAACCTGTTCCAGCAGATCAAACAAAGAAAAGATCTAGAACCTTTACTGGAAGCTGTTAAATCGAATGAGAAAGAGACTACAGCGCTTACAGACAGTACGCACAGAAGGACCCCCTGAGAAACGGATGAGACTCCTGTGAGTTTTAGAAGAGACGCTATCAAGACTTGTCTACTACCTTACCTCATTTCTGTGGCAAGCTCATAAACTTTTACGCTTTGACATGTTTTTTAAACAGGTTTCTCCTTTGTATTATTTGTTTCCGTTGTGAACATTTCTTGTGTATCTTTATGTAATCTTTAGTCTGTTGGACTTGTCCAGCCTGCCTCACTTACATGTACCATATATGTGTGTAAAAACACAATAAAGTGTTTTGCAAATATTGCTTTAAAAAAAAGAAGCCGCTTAAACACAAAAAGGCCACATCACTGAGTATATTTTGACTCACAGTGACCCTTCATTGAGTTTATCAGATTCTACATCTTTGTAAGAGGAGACTGCCTGTCTTCCTCCCTTGAAGAAGCTGGTAGGTTCGATCCACTCACCTTAGTTAGCAGCCAACATACTACACACTATGCCACCAGGGCTACTCACCCCTTCTAAAAGGCAAAGAGTGCCCAAGCTGGCTATTGAACACAGAACGTGGAGCTGGGTCAGAGAAAGTATTTTTGTCTTCACAGTTTATTAGGTATAAACAGAAAAATAATGGGCTTCCTCCCCACCCCCAGGAACCCATAGACAGTGTTATACTGATTCACTTTTTATAAATCCACTCTTTGCATTATCCTAATATCCTAGAGGTCTTACTACATGTATTTTTTTTTTCACCAAGAAATATGTAAGAGAGGCAATTAGCTAGGCAAGAAGGAACCATTTGGTACTAGGAAAAGGAGTTGGTAAATATTTCAATATATAAACAGTCCTCAAAAGTTGCAAAGCCTGTCACTGTTACTCACGTCACAAAGATACAGGGAGTATGTAAAGTAAGTACCCAGGTGTGACAGCGTAATGGCAACTTGTGACTCTTGTTCCAAGAGAACACCATTAAATCAGTTCCAATCTAAGTGGAATAGATAACTTCTTCCATTATTATTATTATTATTATTATTATTATTATCTTTTTAAATCAGAGTAACTTTATAAATTCGATCTTTGTTTTGTGGCAGAGATTGGCAGGGGAATGATAACACGAGTATATCCCACAATGCAGCACTGAATGCAGTTCCTACCACTACTGGTCAAACAAAACATGTAAGCTGTTCCCATCAGGTCCATTCCCACGGCCAGCGACCCTCACTGCGGGTTTCAGGCTCTAAATCTCAGCAGGAGGAGACGGCCTATCTTTTCTCCTAGAAGCAGCTGGTGAATTTGAACTTCAACTTTTTAGTACTTTTACTTACTACAACACCAGGACTCTCTATTACTAATGTTGTTGTCGTGTGTACTGTCAAGCTGGAACTGACCCACAGCTGACTCCGGCAGGTTTTCAGAGGCAGTTAATCACAAAGGAGGAGACTGCCCACATTTCTCCCATAGAGTAGCTGGCGGATTTGAACAGTGTGCCATCAGGATTGCGGCACAGCTCCTTACCACAAGGCCACCAGAGTACCCTAATGATAGGATACTTTTAAAGGATGGGTCTAAATGTGGTCTTAACTTGAAAGCACTGTGAGTTGGGAATTCCCTCTGTCTGTGTGGGTGTCCCTACAAGCTAAGTGTGGCTTCAGCACCGGAGCAAGCGACAGCATAACACGGGGAAGGACCCTCTGCGGGCCTACCTGGTTCTCGATGGCCTTCCTGTTCTTCGGGTCGCTGACCACCGACAGCTGCAGCTCGGCCATCTTCTTCATCTTGCTGTCCATGTCGATCTTCTGGAGCAGGCTCTTGGTCTGGCTCTTCAGGAGCCGGACAGTGTCCTCTTTGCCATGCTTCTTGGCAAAAAGGGACGCGCACGCAGAATGGATGGCAGTGACCCAGTTCTCCAGATCCGTCTGGCTCGTGGCCTAAAGACAGGGGCACGGGACACACAAATGCATCAGAGATTGTTGGAAAATGTCTCCAAAGGGGCGGGTCGGCCTGACAGGCCCAACCTATGAAGCCCTTTCACTTCACAAATCAACACCAGTCAACCCTGGCTCACAGCGACCTTACAATAGCTGATTTCAGAAACAGCTGGCCAAGCCTTTCTTCCAAGGTGTCCCCAGCTGGACCTGGACCTCATCCTTACAGAAAGCAGCTGAGGAGAGTGTTGACTGTTCACACCACTAGATTTCATGGCAAGAAGTGTGTTTAAGTTCAAAAGGACACATACTCTCTATCCGAGTCCTCCTTAACTCAGGGGACTCGGGGGGCGGGGGGGGAGGTGTGGAGAGAGGAAAACACTCATTTTCTCAGAGAGAAGAACTAGAAACGTGCTTATGCCCAACAATACGACAAAGGTAAGGAGAAACAAGGAACAGTCGTTGGAACTCTAATGTGCAGCATCCTAAAACGCTGTGTGGTCATTATTTTAAGAAAAAGAAAAAATTCTAGAACCTAAATATTCACACATAAAATAACATCGACAGCGTGACCGTGCTTCTAAAAAAAAGAAAACAGGAAAAATAAACCCCAATGAGAAGCGTGCATAATAACGCTGAAATAGTTCCATGGTCTTCAATACTTCATGTATTTGATACCATCGTCATAGAATATTTTCATATAAGAAAAGCACTTTTTCTTTCAAAACTATACTAAACATTTGAAACAGAAGGTCCTGATGCGCTACTGGTGAGGGGTGTGCTGCCAACCCAAAGGTAGGTGGTTCGAATTCTCCAGCTGCTCCACAGGAGAAAGATGGGCAATCTCCTCCCGTGCAACTTACAGCTTTGGAAAACCTGTTAGCGGGTCAGGTTTAAGTTACCTCCACTGGACAATCGTGAGGTGAGTTTCTGAGTGGAGAAGCCTGAATAACGCTGAAAGGGCAAAGATATATAATGAAAAGTGGCTTAAACTGTCTTTGTCCAGAACTAACCAGATTTGAGGGTCAGATGCTTAGAGAAGTGGCGTATGGGTTGTAAGGGAGCAGACTGACCCCACAGGTCTCACGCCCGGCCCCACCCCTATGCCAAGAGCGTGTGACCCTCCCCCCCCAGAGCCTATGGCTTCTCATCTGGGGGGCAGCTGATGAAAACATGAACCTCATAAGACCCTTTGCACAGAGAGAGTGGACCTTTTGCATTGGTTTATGAGAGTTTCCCTGAAAAACCTTGTTGATCTTCCCCTGACATTCCTGGGAACAGCCTTCCTGCTCATGTGGTCAGTGAAGAGTCTGGACTTTGGGAATTTTGCCCTGAAACTCACTAGATGGAGTCCTTCCTCCAAAGCAAGAGGCATTTCTTGGTTTTGTCTCTTGAAGGGCCCCTCCACCCGCCATCCTCTGGCGCCCACGTACACTCACTGTATGAATGAACCCAGCTGTGACAGCCCCGCAATTGTTAGTCTAGTCTCTCTTTCCTTTGCCAAAATCCACAGCCTAACTCAGCTGCTGCTGTTGTTAGCTGCAGTCAGGCCGGCTTCTGATTCCTGGAAACCCAGGCACTGGGACAGAGTCCTGCCTGGGACTGCTCCACGCCCCTGGGCGCCTGCAGAACGGATCATCGAATATTAGAGGGTTTTCATTGGCTAATTTCAGGAAGTAGAGCGCCAGGCCTTTCTTCCTAGTCTTCAGACATGCAGCTGCAATGAAACCTATTCAGCATCTGAGCAACACGATGAGAGAACCAGCTGGGACTCATGTACCTCCTGAGTGGGAAGTGAGAGTCCACGCTGAGCCTCCACAGACTCCCCAAGGAAGCCAATATTCTATTTCACTTTTAAATGTCATACTGTTTACTTCACTTCAAAAATATTTCGGCATTCTAAAACATACAAGAAAAGGGAACAGAACATTGCAAATTGTGTTTAAATACAGACAGTTCTGGAACTTCCATGGACACCATGGCTCTTGATTTTGTTAACACTGCTGAGTTAGTTCTACAGTTTAAAAGAAACAATTTAAAAATGATGGCATGTAACAAAAACAAAACCAAGAGCTCCCCCAAAAACCTAAATACTTGAGATGCCATCTGGCCCCTCCTTCTCCACAGCTTACCTTTGCTGTTATTGTTAAGTACCATTGAGTAGGACTCACAGTGACTCTACGAACAAGAGACCGGAGCTCCGTCCTATCCTATACTATCCTCATCATTTCTGATACACTTGAGCCCCCGAGCAGTCACTACGTCAGTCCACCTCACAGCGGGTCTCCTTCTCTTTAGATGACCCTGCATTTTCCAATTCTGCATCTTCTTATTCTAATGGTAGGGAAACGTATCGCAGACCCCACTGCCCTCCGAACCCTGTGCCTATCGAGACATGGCCATACCTGGAAAAGGTAGACGTCTCCAAAGGCATTGCTGAGGCAGAAGACGTTCTCCTTCTTGGGGTGCTCCGGGACAGACTGCACAATGCTGTCCTCGGCCAACAGCGCACACCGGGGGGCACTCTGGTCTGAAGAATTCTTCCCGTAGGTCTCATAGAACAGCAGGGTGCATCCTGGGAACAGAGGCAGAGCGTACCTGTCACTTGTGCTGTCACCTGTCTCAGGATCTAGGAAATGGGTAGGAGACAGCCAAGGGGAAGCCAGGACGAGACACAACAAGAGCCAACATCGTGTTAACACTGACTGAAGTGGAGGGGATGCTCAGAAAGGCAGCATCTGAGAAAGCAACAAATGCTGGAGAGGTTGTGGAGAAACTGGAACCCTTATTCACTGTTAGTGGAAGTGTAAAATGGTGCAACCACTGTGGAAGGCGGTATGGCGCTTTTTCAAAAAGTTGCAAATAGAAATACCATCTGACCCAGCAATTCCACTACTGGGCATATACCCCAAAGAGACCATAACTGACATCCAAGCAGATATATGCACACCCATGTTTATCACGGCTTTGTTCACAGTAGCAAGGAGTTGGAAACAACCTAAGTGCCCATCCACAAACGAATGGATAGAGAAGCTCTGGTATATACACACTATGGAATACTACACTGCATTGAAAAACAAGGAACTCATATTATTCAAAATGGGTGACCCTGGAAGACATTCTGCTGAGTGAAATATCTCAGTCACAAAAGGACAAATACTGCATAGTGCCAGTATTATAAAACAGGACTGACATCGGGGTTGGGGGAAAACTAAGAAGAGAGGGGATAAATAATGTATACTGCATTGAAACAGTTGAGGGAGAGAACTGTAAAAAAGGAATATATGATTAGGTATTATTGTCATGAAAAGAGTCCGGAATTAGAGCTGCATAATAAAGTAAATGGGGTGGGGGCTGTGTAACAATGAAAGAATTTTTTTTCCAAAGAAACAAAGCAAATGGGGCACAGGGGGTAGGGAGGAAAATATACAACAATGAATGAAATAGAAGTTCCCTATAAACTTTCATTAAAATCTTAAATAAAAAGAAATGCAGCATCTGTGAGAACAGCGACAGGTATGCACACTGCTCCTTCTTCTTCATCCTCTCCTGAATCCAGTTCCGCATCCTCTCCTGAATCCAGTTCCACATCCTCTCCTGAATCCAGTTCCGCATCCTCTCCTGAATCCAGTTCCACATCCTCTCCTGAATCCAGTTCCGCATCCTCTCCTGAATCCAGTTCCACATCCTCTCCTAAATCCATTTGAATTTCTGGCAGCTCCCCATTAATGTATTGCTATTCTTGTTTCCACTTACTGCACAACAGTATTTCTATAAAAATACAGCAAAATTCTGACACGTTTTGCCTCGCGTCTTCTCCCTTATCCAAATTAGTAATATTATGTAGCATTTACTATCCTGAGAAAACAGTCCACCTCAAGTTGTTTTACATGGTACTTGAAGATAAACAGGTTTGTTTCTGATAGTGGTTTTAAACGCCCTCATCTGTTTCAATGCAGTATACATAATTTATGCAGTTTTTCTCAGTCTCACCTCAACCCTGATGTCAGTCCCGTTCTACAACAGTGGCACTATGCAGTATTTGTCCTTTTGTGACTGAGATATTTCACTCAGATAATGTCCTCCAGGGTCACACATTTTGTATAATATTTCATGAGTTCCTTGTTTTTCAATGCAGTGTAGTATTCCATTGTGTGACTATACCACAGCTTCTCTATCCACTCATTTGTTGATGGGCACTTAGGTTGTTTCCAACTCTTTGCTATTGTGAACAAAGCCACGATAAACATGGGTATGCACCTCTATAGTGTTTTTAAGGCTACAACCCTATAGAAGCAAGTTACCAGGCCTTTTTTACAAGGCACCTCTGGGTGAGTCTGAACTATTAACCTTTGAGTTAGTAGGTGAGCCTTTAACCACCTGCACTCAGGGACTCTCATGGAAGATTACGTTTTAAAAACAGTATTACCTTTGGCAGTCCCGTTCTTAATTTTGAAAGTAAATCTTTAGATAAACAGCTGGGTAACATCAGACAACTAGGGGGTGAGAGCGGGGAGCCCAAGAACCAAGTAGAGGTGACTAGCAAGGCCACCATGTCCAAGTCCTAGTTCTTGGCAATGGGTTAACATTCACTCCCCCGCTTCTCAAAGGCCCCCGCTGGAAAGGTAGCATCTGCAGGAAATGGATATGAACCTGAACAGATGACAGGATGCTGCACGGCTGAAGACTGAGCTACCACAGCTTGGAGCCTTGTTCCACATAGGACACCACCCCAGGGTACAGAACAGCACAGTTCACAGAACAGCACAGAGAACTGTTGCCATTGAACCTGACAAACAGGAAACCCATTTTCAGTGTAGCATCAAATGTAACCCAAGGAGCACGGTGTCTCTAACGCTGAGGCTTGGAGGCAGACGGGAAGGAGTGGCCCCCCAGCAATAAAGGCTGCCATCATCCAAAGTGCAGGCTTGGGCTGGAGGGGGGAGAGCAGAAGCCCTCAGAGCGAAAACAAACGAGAACAGTAGCGGGAATGCACAAGTAGCAGAGGTCATTTTAGAAGACATATCCCTGGAAGAAGGAAAGTAATTACGGTTCCTCTTCCCTCCCATCAATCTTCTTCTCTGACATCCTCATCTGCTCAAAACCAGCCCCCACTGACCTACGTCAGGGCAAAATCTCAATTGTCCTCAAATTACTTCGTAAACTCCTTCCCTGAAACTGGTCCCTGGGCAACACACACAGTTTGCGCCTGACAGCTGACCTCCAGGGAAGTCTGGTAGCCCAGTGGGCAGGGAGCTGCATGGCCAAGCCAAAAGCTGTTGTTGTCGTTAAGTGCTCTCAAGTCGAGTACGACTCATAGTGACTCTTTGAACAAGAGATCTGAACCCTGTTCGATAACTATCATCATTTCTAGAATGTTCATAGAGTTTCTAAGGCCTGTTGTTTATGAAGTGGACGCCAATCCTGCCTCCAAGCCTGTCTTAATCTGGGAGCTCTGCCTGTCCACCATGGGTAACCATTATGACTTTTGACACGCCACTGGTACAATGTTGAGTATCACAGCAACCCCAAGTTTCTCAGTACAGCAAACTGACAGACCAGTGTTATACCACTTCCAACAATGTTTTTCCCAAACACAATTAACATGAAGCCTGAGAGTCCAACCAACTTTTAAATACAAAGGCCCATCCATCCACCGGGTCCTGATTGGCTTAAACAAGAGGCTTCCAGCCCACAGCTGCTTGTGAACTCAATCCATCAGCTTACATAAGACTGTGAACGAAATTTAAAAAAAAAACAAAACAACAAAAAGCCAGACACCCAAACAAACAGTTTAAACTCACTTTAAACAAAATCAAGAGAACCTACCCTCCAATCCACCAGCTGCTCTATGGGAGAAGATGAGTAATTTATATGCAATTTATAGCCTCTGAAAACCCATTGGAGGGTCAGCTATAAGTCAGTGCTGACTTAACAATACTAAGAAAGAAAAAGAAAAGAAAAAAGCCACAAAGTATACTGAATACACCAAGAGAACACTCACATCTCTGTCAAAGTACTGCCAGAATGTTCCTCAGACGTGAGACATCATCTCACATATATTGCGCGTGTCACCTGGAGGGGTCAGTCCCTGGAGGACACCATCCATGGAAAAGTGGAGGGTCAGGGAAGGAGGGAGGACCCTCAAATGAGACGGGTTAACATGGTGATTGCAACAAGAGACTCGAGTGCAGCAAAGACTGGGAGGACCAGACAGAGACAGGCCAGGTCTTGTCCTGTTGTCCTCAGAGTCCAGAGGTGCTGAAGCAGACTCACTAGTCTCGAACGACAGCAACAACAAACTATCCTAAAGGTTGGAGGTTCAAGCACATCCAGCACTGCCTTGGAAGAGAGAAGTGTGGAGACAGGCTCATACAAAGACGGCCACTAAGAAAAATCTATGGAGGGAGAGTTCTTCTCTGTGACACAGGGATCGTCCAGAGTCAGAACTGACTCAATAACATAGGTTTTCATTTCTCCCCTGAGGTCACTTTTGAGGCACAATCAAAGCGCACTCACTGGAAAGCAGAGTCACCCTTGTTGAGTATTTATGACATCCTCCGAGCTCTCCAAGGCAAAGGTGCACCTTGGCCTCCTGTACGTCCCATCTGGATACTTAACCAGACAGTTTGCAATTAACTAGTCCCTGCAGAAAACTGTTCTCAGCTTAATCACATAACACTTTAAGGGTAATTTTTAAAAATCTGCTCCAATGTACATGTGTGTCCAGTAGGTTTTGAACTAAGATTAAACCAAATAGTGAAGTCAAAACATTCCAGATATGATTGTAAGAGAGCTGAACTCAACATACTGAATTCCCAGGGGGACAGGATGCAGAAGCCACATGGAAAAGGTTACGCCAGGAAAAACATCTTATCCCAGCCTTGCCCAGGCTGCAAAGGAAGTGGAGGAATGTGTGATAAGATTTACACTTACAAAGTCCCTTTATCCAGACCTTAAAGGGGCCTGCAAGCAAAAACTTCAGAGCAGACCGCAGGCAGGCCTGGCAGGCCCACCGGTGGTCAGAAGTGAGGAGGCCCACCCTGGCCCTGCCCTCAGCAGCCGGAAATTCCTGGCTTGATGGCTAACTAACTGTTTGTGTCAGCTTGGCTCAGCTGAGGTGCCCAATGGTCTGCTTAAATGCAAGTCACTAGTGGAGATGTTGTGATGGTATTCACACGTGATTAGGATTTAAATAGCTGGCCTTAAGTAAACAGATCCCCCTGCAAGTGTGGGTGGGCCTCAAATGCATCAGTTAAAGGCCTTAACAGCAAGAGCAGAATTTGCTGGAGAGCAAAGGATTTGGCCTCAAAAAATGTAATACAGCCATCCTGCCCGAAGTTCTAAACATGCAAGCAGATTTCTTAAAACAAAACCCCCACTCACTCTCACACTCTAACACACACTCACTCTCTCTCTCTCTCTCTCTCTCTCTTTCTCTCTCTCTCTCTCTCAGAGGTGCCTTGGAAGCAAGAGCTGGTGGTCTGCTTCCAAAATATGACAGCCCTTAAATCCCTATGGAGTATCAAACCTGAATAAAACAAGTTTAATATGGAAAAAAAAAACACAAACCCT